TTTAGGGCGACAGTGCCCAAACTGTACATGTGGAATTTTGTTGCAAGTCACCTATAAAATAAAAGAGAAGCAGTGTAAGACTTCAAGTCAACTAGAGAGAAAATGTGGTTATGTGAGTCTAGCAGAGCCCCAAACTCGTTTGAATCCCTCATTTCCCCAAACGGATTAAGGGGCCCTCTGGCATCAGGAAACCCTTAATGTGGACAGTCAGTGCTGACATCTTTAAAGGGGCTGGCAGGTGTAGTTCAGTGGTAGAATGTTGGTCTAGCATATGTGAAGTGCTGAGTTTGATTCTAAGAGAGGGATGGTACGAATAGGTTTACAGAGCCCTGCTATTACCCAGAAAGGCGATTTTCTGGGTAGCAGGGGAATCTGGAGGGACCCTGAGGCCCTTGGCAGAGGTCTGTTAGATCAGATTTTTTTTTTTTTCAGTGTTGTTTTTTTGTACTGAGGGTGTGAGGACAATGGTGGGAAAAGCTGCGTTTGTCTTGATATAAATGAAGGAAGCTTCACACACAGTTAAAACATGCCAGCTTCACTTAAGAAAGCAGTAAAGGATTAATCTGATTAAATGATACATAGAAAGCCAACACCGGACTGGTTTCCTCCCTTCACAACACCACAGTTGCTCACTGTGGCCACCCCCAGAAATTGTTTCCCGATCTCAATCATCACATCGCAGAGCAATGAAGACACAGAACAGTCTCCTGGGACAGGAATGTTTTTACAGCCTTCAGCCGTAAATCCTTCTCCAACAGTGGTCGGCAAGCCTCAGACCTGGAGCCCTTTGCAGAAATAGCAGCTAATTGATGAACCCTTCCTTCAGCCACACTTGCTTTTTCCCTCCCTCCTTTTCCTTCCTCAATGCAGAGGATTCTGAAATTGGAAGGAATCTTGAGAAGTCAGTACGTCACAAACTTAGTGCAGGCTATCCTCAAAGTGTAATAAGAGAAAGGGTCAGATGCTATTTTTTACTTCATTCCCATATTATAGGATTTTTTTCCCCCCCAGAGCAATTGGCTTCATTATAAAAAGAGAAGTGAATTGGAGCTGGAGAGATGACTCGGTGGTGGTTAAGAGCACTGTGATGTCCCCCATCAGCTCTGAGTATTTGAACGCACAGTCCCCAGTCCATGGCCCTGTTTGGGGAGGATCATGGAACGTTTAGGAGGTGTGGCCATATTGGAGGAAGCAGGTCAGTGGGGGCGGGCTTTGAGAGTATATTGCGTGCCCACTTCCAGCCTGACTCTTTCTGCTTCCTGTGCCTGCTTGAAGATGTGAAGGCTTAGTTTTCTGCTGCAGCCGTCTCTGCCAGCATGCCTCCCCCACCACGATGGCGCTTACCCTCTGGAACCGTAGGCCAAACAAACTATTCCTTCTATAAATTGCCTTGGTCATGGTCTTTTATCATGGAAACTGCAAAGTAGCTAATAGAAGCATCGACTGCTCTTGCAGAGGACCTGGGTTTGGTTGGTTCCCAGCAACAAGGTTAGGTGGCTGACAACTGTTGGTAACTGCAATTTCAGGGGATCCAACACCCTCTCCTGGCCTCTGGGATATTGCATTCATAGAAGCACTTACATAGGTGCAGGCAA